AAAAAAAAAAAGAAAACAAAATAAAAAGTATTGGATGGATGTGAAGAAACTGGAACCCTCATATATTGCTAGTGGAAATGTAAAATGGTACAGTCGTTGTGGAAAGCAGTTTGGTGGTTTCTCAACACAGAATTACAATATGTCCCAGAATTTCGCTTGTAGGTATACACCCCAGAGTTGGAAACAAGTATTCAAACAAAACATGTACATGAATGTTCACGGCAGCTCTATTCACAACAGGCAAATGGTGGAACAGTTCCAATGTCCGTGAGCAGATGAATGGATAAACAAAATGTGGCATAGCCACACAACTAAATACTATTCAACCATAAAGAGGCATGGAGTACTGACGTGGATGGAACCGAAAACATTCTGCTAAGTAAAGACACCAATCACAAAAGGCCACATACTGTATGATGCATCCAGAGGAGGCAATTCCATAGAAAGGCAGATTCTGGTTTCCAGGAGCCGGGGCGGATGGGGAGTGACTGCCTAATGTATAGGAGGCTTCCTTTTGGGACAACAGGAAGTTCGGGAAATAGATAATGGTGATAATTACACAACACTGTGAAGGTGCTTAATGCCAAGGAATTGTGTACCTTAAGATGGCACAAATGGTAAATTTTGTGTTATGGGTATTTTACCATAAATTTTGAAAATCCACCCTACCCCTCAAATGTTTAAACAATTATGGCCAGCTGTAAAACAATTTGGATTCTTGCATAAAAAAGAAAAATAATTTTTATCCAAAAGGATGTTAAATTTTTATTTCATTTATGGAAATTTTGTTAGAGAAATATAAAGAACAAACTAAGAAAGATATTTTACAAAAAGTGCAAATTTTCAATTAAGCCAAACTATTGCCCACAGAGTACAAGGCCTTTCTAATATTATTAAAGATCCTGGGCCAGGCACGGTGACTCATGCCTGTAATCCCAGCACTTTGGGAGGCCGAGGCACGTGGATCACCTGAGGTCAGGAGTTCAAGACCAGCCTGACAACATGGTGAAACCCTGTCTCTACTAAAAATACAAAAATTAGCCAGGCTTGGTGGTGGGTGCCTGTAATCCCAGCTACTTGGGAGGCTGATGCAGAAGAATCGCTTGAACTCGGGAGGCAGAGGTTGAGATTGAACCCAGGTGCTTGAACTCAGGAGCCAAGATTGCACCACTGCGCTCCAGCCTGGGCAACACGAGCGAAACTTTGTCTCAAAAAAAAAAAAAAAAAAAAAAATTATAAAGTATCCTTTAATTTAAAACTTGAAAACTTGCAAGTACTTTTCTTTGGTTTTTGATGAGTTGTGTGGTTAAGAGACACTCACTGGACAATTAATAGTTTGAATTCTTTAATTTCAGAGGAATTCCAAATTTATAAACAAATGTCAATTGATGGCCTAAAAATTAGAAATTATGGTGTAAATATTTTTTCATAGTTTCCATTTGTCAAAGAATTCAGTTATATATGAAAAAACTAGTTTCTATTATGACAGACACTGCTCCAGCTATGGCAGGTCAAAAATCTGAATTTATTGCAATTCATTTGAAATTTAAAACAAGGGACAGATATTTCCATTATTGCTTCATTCCACTGTATAATACTGTTGAAAGTATTTGTGTTCCATTTTATGAAGCAGACTCTAGAAAAACCATCAAGAATGTAGTTGTTAAAATCTTTCAATATTTATGTGCAAAAGGTTTGAATCGCTGAGCATTTACACAACAGCTGAAAGAAACGAG